GATTGAGGCACTCGTGCGTAGGACCATTGAGGAAGCTCTGCTCAACCTGGACGTATATAGTTATAGTTTTAGAACCAAGTTATTGGAAAGTAGTTGGAAAATTGAAAAAAAAATTGATAAATTGCCGCGATGAAGCAGTAATTCGGAAGCCGCTGTCAATTTCCACCTTTTTGTGACTGTAGCGTACGTCGCTTTCTACTAATTTGCGGCGTACAATGAAGAAAGGATTATTCTCCACAGCCCACGAAGCATTGCCTAATAATTCGACGGCGACTGAGTTCTACAAACCTTTCAAAGCTTAAACTGTGCTGAGGGCCATGGCAACTTTCGTCAGGTCACGGTTGTCCAAATCATCAGGGGGAACTGTTACAGTGGAGGAGAACTCCTTACATTATGGTAAAATTCACCAAAACCTTCGAAATACGGGTTCAGCAAAGTTTTGTTTGAGCCGAGATACATGTATTTGAAATTCATGGTTAAAAAACGACAAAACTTTCTGAAACGCCTAATAACTGAACACAACTGAACTGAACTGAGAACACTTCTATTTGGTTCTAGACTGGGCTGCCTTGTAAGCGTGAACTCCGCCATTGAGGATGGAATAGACGAGATGGATAATTAGATGAATAGGCTACAGTATGCATAGTCCCTGTCTAGTTCAGTGATCAAAGAGCCTGGGACAAATTCTGACATACTATGTACACAGTTGTTGTGACGTACATGGTTGTGTGGAGGTATCTGCCGGCCGTGGAATCCGCCCTTCCCCAACACACCGACGGGGCTTGCTATGAGGTGGCTCCACTTTTTGTTTGCGAACTGACACTAGCCTGAAAACAGTTCTGTTCATACAAAGAGAAAGAAATCGTTGTTCAGCTATTAGTACTTGTATTGTACTTGTACTTGTATTAGTACTTGGTTGTGAAGACGTAGATTATGGCAAATGATTGAATGACGCTTGAATTTGCGATGCTGCCCTGATGGACAGAAAAAATAGTGAAGTGTATAGAGACCGTCTCATAATTGTTAGCTTACAATCAATTTTTGAATTTCCATAATAAAATGCCGCTTGAGCACCGGCTCATCTTCACGTACTATTTTTTGTAAAGTTTTGTTTTTCGATTTTGCACTGCTTAATTATGAGCTCAATCTGAGAAACGAACAATTTTTTGAAGTTGATGACACAAAAGAGCGAGTTCCATGGCTCTTCCTTGTGTAAGTGCGACATCAAAGGACCTCCGCGGCCTACTAGGGACCCGGTTCTAAAGCTCTTCCTTGTCGTTTCCATCTCAAATTTAATGACCTCCAGTTTCGGAACTTCTGTACTCTGTAATTAACGGTTGTTCACATGAGGCCATTGACAGTGATGCCCAGATGTTCTCCATAGAAGAAGTATGGCTTGCTATAATGGCCCACAGCTAATTCGCCTATGATGGGAGTGTAGGTCGTTCACTGGATGGTCGATAACCGCAGAGCGATCCACGTTATGCAGATTTCCTTATAAACCCTTTGACGCACCGTATGGCCCTCATCGGCCATGACAACCTAATTTCCAAAGACGACGGACTTCGCATATAAAGCGTGAGATGTTGTTGTTAGATTCCTTGGTATCTGTGGAATTCATTTTGCAGGCTACAGAAGAAAATTTTGCACAGTAAGCAACCCATACTTTCACACCTGATCCACCAAAATTAAAAGCCTTATAAAGGCAGCGGTTACGCTAGGTTTAAATGTGGTTTGGAGGGGACGAGGGGGTCCTCAATAGTACATCAGTGGCGAAAAAAGCAAAGAAATCCGTCAAAAATAAGCAAAATAGTGCCCCTTTGATTGCCCTTTCATTTTCGATCATGGATGAGCGACGGTAAAGACTGAGGTTGTTCGGACGTGTTAACCCCGATAGCTGCCATCATGCCAACAAGCATAGTGTTTCGATTGATAAGGCATAACATGGGCAAGATGGAAGATACAGCCGCTAGATGGGAAAAGATCATCCAAAATGAAAAGCCAACAGCAATCAGTCCATCCAGATCATCAACAAAACCAGTGGGCGGGGCGGCGCATGGGGCGGAAGGGCGCAATGGTCCTGCTCAGCAACCACAGCACTGTTCGCAGTGGAAGCGCCACACATCGCTTCCTTGGCGGCCTGCTAATTGCTCTGTGGGGAGCAGGTTCTCCGCAGATGTGAAAATTCCTTTTCCGTACCTACTTCCTTATAAGTAATCCTTTCCGACAAATTTTTGCGTTCTTTCCCCAACATGCATATGTTTTGATCACTAGGGACAACACACAAAGTTTGACGCACGAGGATTCAGTTTCCGAAGAGAAACAAACTTACGAAAACCACAGTCTATGGACAGTCGGAAGTCAGAAGTTACAAAGGAATAGAAAGCGCAGATACGCCCACATGTAAATGAGGGGAAAAAACGGAAATAAAGCTCGATGGTCTTTACAAAGGGAGGTCGTTCAGGGTGTGGGAAGCTTTTTCAAAACGGTTTTTTGCATGCTGTAGGGACTCTCACGTAGACCACAATACTGCGTTTCGTTTTCGCTGAGCGGCCCCCTGAAGGCCAAAAAATGGTCGAAAAAAATTCGTTAAGAAGGGGTGGTTTTTGCTGCCTTGGAGTGAAGTTTCGGACCTGTACAAACGACCACCTGCATTTTGAAGGGCGCCGATGAAGATAATATCGAAAACAACTCGAAATTCGCTCAAAATTGAAGCACTGTACGTGGTACTGCTGAAGAAAGTGTAGAGGTTTCATAGGCGTCGTCGGCACCCTACACATCGCAGCGAGCAGGTGGCCGAGTGGATAGCGTGGTGGACTGGGGTTGGCACGACTTTGTGGATCGAGTCCGCTCCTGGGCTGACTTTTGCATTTTTGATAATCACCTCCAAATTGGCGCCAAATTGCTTCAGCGTCAAAATTAACGCTATATTCTCATTCAGGACCGTCAATGGGTTTTCTACCAAAAATTGGAAGAAAAAGTTCGCAGCGCCAAACTGGCGCCAAATGGCGCCGACGTCAAAAACGAACGCCATAATCGTGTACAGGACCCTGATCTACCCCCACATGCCAAATTTCAGGAAAAATCTAGGTTTTGACCTAACTTCGAAAAAGAGGGTGGCCATGGGCTACAGGTATGACGACCTGTAGCCGAGCGACTTGAATACGAGTGCGGCGCCGAAATCAAGCGCAATGCCTTGTCGGCTCACGGGAACTAAAGTTCGGTTTCATAGGGAACATCTTCCATCATGTCGCAGTCCTTGAAATCGCTCCATCTATGGACACGCAGCCTTGCGAGTGGAGGAGCCGTGGACCCAATTACCACGTCTTGATGAAGGGGAGAATCTGCCGACTTCAAAATCATGGTGCCCTGTTGCCCATTACCAGCCTGGGTGTCTCCCATTGTCCATTTAGCAGTGATACTTCTCGTTATTTGAGAAGGATAACTGGGAACTCGTTTCCAGTGCACCGGCTGGAGGCAACTATGGGCTACTGACCTATCACTGGCCAATTTTTCGGATCCAGGTCAAATTCTCAATTTTCTCAAGAACTTCTGATTTAGGGAATATCGAGTGCCCTGATCACGAATATGACATTAATTTTATCCGATAGCTTCAATTTACGCTAGTTTGGCGCCGTTTGGCGCCTTTCTGGCGCTACAACTTTTTTCCACAGATTCTGGAAAAAGTTTGACTGCATTTCTTGCTCATGGTCTTAATGATGAGTACGATACCTAGTACTGGTGCTGGCGCTATTTTAAGGAAATTTCGAAGCTCCAACTAAAGTGCAAAAATTCTGTCATCAAGAGGGATTGAACCTCTTCCTACTCCATTCCGCTCAGCGAAAATGACACATAGCCGCTTATGGGACGGTGCACCGAAGGTTCAAACCCGTGTGTGACGCGACTTTTGCAAGCAACGTGGTGGATGCTCACCACTTCACCTATGGCAAATTGCCATTGGCTCAATGGGGACGTTCCACGCTGCCGCTGGCAAGGTTGCTGGATCAGCACCGCTTGAAGACTAAGATTCGCAAACAACATCATCCAACAACAACAACAAAACATCCACAACAACATCCATAGCTTTCATCATCTCTTCCAGTGGTGTTGTCGAGTGATCCCTGGTGCGGTGGCAAAAAACACGGCTGTGAGCCCTAGCATTCAGGGCTCAAGCCCGAGAGGGTATGCAAGTTTTGCATGTCGTGTGGCGAGGCTGGCGGTTTCAACTAGGGTCATGTCCATGTTTCCACGCTCTCTATTCCTCGCCAATGGGTGTAAATCACCACATTTGATTGCCAGTCTAGGGACATTACTACCGTCCGTTCCGGACATGCCCGCATCGAACCAGAATCCTTTCACAAAAGGAAACTCCTCATTACTACAGTGCCTACTGGTTACTAACATTGGTCTGCGGGAATAACCAATAACCTTGTTACCTTGCTTACGCTGCCAATAGCTTGAACTCCTTGTATGTTGTTACGTCCGCTCATTAATCTCACACCTGGAATGCCTCAGACACCCTCACACTGGTGGTTTACTATTCAGACTAAATTTTGAATGCAAGAGTTATCTTCGTTGCAAATTCACGTATGAATACAAAATATTTGAGAAGACCTTGTTGAAAAAGGACTGCTGCTGAGGAGACAAATTTGGCAAATGGCTCAGCTCGAAACTATTTTCACGGAATTCACGTGTCCGTCGTTTCAGATCGGCGCCATTTCAGTGACACATGTACTTTTGTGTATGAAGTTATTGGAAAGACAAGATTTGTTTTGATTCGTGAAAATCCAATTAGGGCCTAACCGTTCTCATTCAAATTGAACACTTCCTTCACAGCCAGTGGAAAGGGCATGTTTTAGTCTGTCGGAAAATTAGGAAAAGCTGTAACAACAACGAAGTACACGCACGATACAACGGAGTATTTGAGAATGATGGGTTTAAAAGGTCCGAGCATAGGCAGGATTTCAGCAGCATCACCCCCTATCTTTCCGCCTTCACTAATGCAGCTGATCGCTTCCATCATCTTTTTCTGCATGGTGCATTCCGTATCAAGTGATTGCCGTGCCGTTGACTTTGGAATCGAAAAGCTCGGACAGGTTCCGGAAGGTGTGCGAGATGCGCTTGAATCATACCTCAATAAGACGGGGTATGCAGTGGTATGTTGCTCGTAAAAATTTGTCTCTCTCAAAATGCCTGCAAATTTGGCAGTTTTTTTTGCGCAAGCACATTTTTCAGGGTCCTGAAGATAGCGTAACACGTTATCTGTTGTTTAGCGGCGACGACAATTCAGGAACACGTGCTGATATTTATGTCACCTTCGTTCAAAAAAATGTGAGGTGTAATTTATATTGGAGAGCATAGTTACCTCTAATGGCATTCCATTGAAAAAAAATTCCCAAAAAAAAACAAGCGATTTGAGCCCATTGACACTTGGTTTGCGAAAATTACGCTTTCAGAACACTAATCACATCTATCTCGAAATGAAACCAAACGGTAACGATGGTTATGACGTCTCTACAATAGTAGAGGAGATTTTAGGGACAAATATGAAGAATGCAGTCATTTGATCGATCAATCAAATGAATTTTTGAAGATGACAGCTAAATGAATTTCTCCAAATATGATTGTTCTCAATGTTTCTCCAGAAATTCACAGACCTACACGAACAATTAGTGTAACAAGACATACTGAAAAAGTTCAATACGCCTTAAAATTAGACAACTGGGTTGCTACTTTCGATACCTGTCATAGAGCTGCTTGCGAAGGTTACGT